ATATACTGTACTTGGTCGTGATGTATTTTCTCTTTTACATATTACTAGGTTTAATTTGCTAAAATTTGAATTTTTGCATCTATGTTCCTGAGGGATGGATATTGATCTGCAGTTTTCTTGTCTTGTATTTGTCTTGTTTTCACATCAGGGTCTCCTAGAATGAGTTAGGAAATATTCTCTTTTTTCAATTTTCTTGAAAAAGTTGCATGAAATTGCTATTATATCTTCCTTAAATATTTGATATAATTCACTAATGAAGTCATTTGGGTCTGGAGTTGTTTGGGGTTTTTTTTTGGTTTTTGTCTTTGGAAGGTTTTTAAAAAACAAATTCAGTTTCACTAATAGATATAGGGCTATTCAAACTATATCTTCCTGCGTGAGCTTTAGTATTTTGTGTCTTTAGAGGAATTTGTCTGTTCATCTAAGTTGTCAAATGTATTGGCATAAGATGTTCATAATATTCCCATAGTAAATTTATATTTGTTGGGACCTCTGGGTGGCTCAGTCGGTTAAGCATCTAACTTCAGCTCGAGTCATGATCTCACAGTCCATGAGTTTGAGCCCCAGGCCAGGCTCTCTGCTAACAACTCAGAGCCTGGAACCTGCTTCGGATTCTGTGTCTCCCTCTGTCTCTGCCCCTCCCTCACTCATGCTCTGTCTCTCTCTCTCTCAAAAATAAATCTTTTTTTAATGTTTATTTTTGAGACAGAGAGAGAGAGAGAGAGAGAGAGAGAGAGAGCGCAAGCGGGGGAGGGGGGACAGAGAAAGGGAGAGGGGGGACAGAGAAAGGGAGATATAGAATCTGAAGCAGGCTCCAGGCTCATTAGCACAGAGCCCCATGTGGGGCTCGAACTCACAAACTGCGAGATCATGACCTGAGCTGAAGTCGGACGCTTAACCAACTGAGCCACCCAGGCACCCCTAATAAACAACTATTTTTTAAAAAACTAATACTTGTAGAATCTGTAGTGATGTCATCTCTCTCATTCCTGATATTGGTGATTTGTGTCTTCTTTCCTTTTTTCATAATTAGTCAGGATAGAGATTTATCAATGTGACTGGTCTCAAAGAACCAAATTTTGTTTTCATAGATTTTTTTCCTATTGTTTTTCTATGTTTCTTTCATTGATGTGAGGTTAGCTTTATTATTTATTTTATTAATTCTTTTCTTCTGTTTACCTTGAGTTTAATTTGCTCTTTTTTTCAAGTCGCTGAAGGTGAAAGCTAAGATTATGACCTTGAGAACGTTCTACTTTTCTTATATAGGCATTTAATATTATAAATTCTCCATAAGGACTGCTTTAGTGGCATTCTCAAATTCTTGTATGTTGTGTTTATATTCTTTGAGTTAAAGCTACTTTCAAATTTCTTCTTTGATTCCTTCTTTGAACCATGGTTGGGGTTTTTTTAGAAGTGTGTTATTTAGTTTCCAAATATTTGAACATTTTCCAGATATCTTTGTATTATTGATTTAAGATTTAATCCTGTTGTAGTCATAGAATATATTTTCTATGTCTTGAATCCTTATAAATTTATTGAAACTTGTTTTACGACCCAGAATAGAATCTGTCTTAGTGTCCATGTGCACTTGAAAAGAATGTGTATTCTGCTCTTCTTAAGTATAGTGTTCTAGTAAATGTCAAACCAAGTTAGTTGATGATGTAGTTCAAGTCTTATGTATCCTTAACTGATTTTCTGCCTCGTGGTATATCAACTATTAAGAGCAAGGTACTGAAATCTCAGACTATAATTGAGAATTTGTCTATTTCTCCTTGCATTTCCATCAGTTTGGGGTCCCATATTTTGAAACTGTTATTAAGTGTATAAACTCTTGGAATAATTATATCCTCTTGACTAATTGGCCTTCTATAATTATGAAATGACCGTCTTTATGATAATATTCTTTGCTGTACAATTTACTTTAATATTAATGTAGACAATCCAAGTTTGTTTTTGTCTAATTTTAGTATATTATGTTCCATAATTTTGTCTTTTTTTAATGTTTATTTATTTTTGAGAGAGAGAAGGACAAAGCATGATGGGGGAGGGGCAGAGAGAGAGGGAGACACAGAACCCAAAGCAGGCTGCAGTCTCTGAGCTGTCAGAGCCTGACACAGGGTTCAAACCCACGAACCGTGAGATCATGACCCGAGTGGAAGACAGACTCTTAGCCGGCTGAGCCACTCAGACGCCCCCATAATTTTCAGTCTAATTGTCTTTCTCTAGTTGAGGTGAATTTCTTGTCGGCAACATACAGTTGGGTTAGATTTAAGTCTGTCATCTTGCTATCTAATTTCTGTTTGTCCCATTTTTTCTTTGTTCCCTTTTCCCTCCTTTTTATCATTTCTACTGGATTGTTTTTATGTGTCTTTTTATCTCCTTTGTTGGCTTATTACCTATAATTCTCTATTTTGTTATTTTAATGGTATCTTAGGGTTTATACTATACACCTTTGACTTAGTCTACCTTCCGTTAATATTATACCACTCCACATATAGTATAAGAACTTCACAATGTCATTCCTTCCTTCCTAGCCTTTATGCTTCTGTTGTCATACGTTTCACTTATACATATGTTATAAGCCCCACAGAACATTATTATTTTTTTGTTTAAAAAGTTGGTTTAAATATTTTCTTTATTTAAAAGAGATTTAAATAATATGAAAATAGTCTTATCATATTTGCCCCTGTAAACATCATTCCCATTGTCCTTTATCCCTTTGTGTAGATCTAGATTCCCATTTGCTATCATTTTCCTTCCCTCTGAAAGACTTCCTTTAATAATTCGTGGAGAACATTGGAGTGCAAATCTGCTGATGATTAATTCTTTCAGTTTTTGGTTTTGAAAGATATTTTCACTGGTGCAGAATTCTACCTTGACAACTTTTTTTCTTTACATACTTTAAGTATGTTGTTTCACTTTCTTCTCATGTGTCTTTTTTTCCTCCAAGAAATCTGTCATTCGTATCTTTATTTTTTCATACTAACATGGTTTTTTCCTATATCTGAGATTTTTCACTTTACCTTGGTTTTGGTGTGTGTTGGTGTCGTTTTCTCTGTTTCTTGTGTTTAGTGTTCGTTGAATTCTTAGATCTCTAGCTTTTTAGTTTTTCAAAAATTTGGGAAATTTAGGGCTGTTATTTCTTCAAATATTCTTTCTGTCCCTGCTACAATCTGCTTTCCTATAAGGAGTCAATTTTTTTAGATGGTTTCTATTCCTATGTGTACAAGTTCAGTCATCTTTTCATCTGTAATATCTAATCTGTCATTATCCCATGTAGTGTATTTTTCATTTCACATATAATTTTCACATCTAGAAGTTCAATTTGTTTTTTTTTTTATATATATCTTCCCTGTCTCTACTTAACTGTTTAAACATGTAAAATACAATTAATTATAAAAACTGTTCTTCTCTACTAACTTAACATCTGTGTCAGTTCTGGGTTTTGATTGATTATTCTTCTCATTATGGCCCATGTTTTCCTGACCCTTCACATACCTAGTACTCTTTAATTGGGTGTCAGACTTTGTGAATTTTACCTTGTTGCATGCTACCTGTTTTTGTATTCCTATACATCCTTTAGTTTTGTCTTCTGGTACAATTAAGTTACTCAGAAACAGATTGATCCTTTTAGATCTTATTTTTATGCTTTTTAGGTGGGTCTAAGCAGTGCTCAGTCTAGGGGTTTTATTGAAGCAAAACTCTTCTGAGTGCTTTACCCAATGCATCATGAATTATGAGTTTTCCAGGTTGGTTGGTGGGAGCAGGCACTGCCAGCCCCGTGTGAATGCCAGACTCTGTTCCTTTCAATATTTCTAGAGGATTTTCTCCAGATTCAAGCATTTTTCTTATACACATGCTGATCATTATTCTCTCCCCATATTTGTAAGGATCCCTCTGTTAATCTCCAGGATCCTCTCTCTGTGCATCTCTATCCTCTCCGGTAATCTCTCCTTTGAACTCTAGCTCCCTTATTCTCCCCAGATCCTCAGCTCTATTTCCTCAACTGAGAGTCCACCAGGTTACTTCTGGGTTTCTGCTCCCTGCATGTCCTGGAAACTTTCTCAAAGCAATAAGCTGGGGCAATCATGGGCCTCACTTTGTTTCTTTTTCCCATTGATCAGATCTGATATCCTGTCTCTTGGAAATGATTATTCCATAGCTTTTTTTTGGGTCTGTGTGGGTTTTTTTGTTTGTTTTTTGTTTTTGTGTGTTTGTTGGTTGGCTGGTTATTTCAGGCAAGAGAATAAATCTGATCCCCATAACTCCATTTTGGCCAGAAGTGAAAGTTTAATAAATCATTTTTTTCCTCCTTCAAGGTCAGCTGTTCAGGTGATCTAATCTGCGTTCTGAGTTGTTTGGGCTTGGCTGATTTCCTTTGTCTATACTTATATATATAATATATATGTTGTGTTTATATTCATCCAGTTAAAGCTACTTTCAAATTTCTTTTTTGATTTCTTCTTTGAACCACAGTTGGGTTCAATATATATACATACATGTATGTGTGTATATATATATATATATATATATACACACACACATGCACATATGTATATATATGTGCACATATGTATATATACATGCGCGTATGTATATACACGCACGTATGTATAGATACATACATGTATGTATATGTGTATGTATCTATACATACGTGCATGTATAGATACATATGTATGTATCTATACATATACATATATGTATGTATCTATACATATACATATATGTATGTATCTATATCATTTATATACATATATATAAATGAATGAGGAATGTTTGGTTTAGCTTAAAGTGTGGAAATCAACCTGAAAGTTTTACAGAGAAGTTAGTAGTAGCTATTGAGATCGTTTTGGATGAAATGCTACCAATTTCAAAGAAGTCATGGGTAAAGTGTTGAAATTTTCTTAGACCTAGCATCAATTTCTGGGGAAAATGTGTATTTATAAAGGTAACTATAATTATCATTTAACACCTTTGTTTTCTTATTTAAAAATTAGAGGACAATGTATATAAAAATATGCAAGAATCAAAGGAAACCCACGTATCCAATCACCTGGATGAAATTGTTGCTGCTGTCAGCATTACACCTAGAAAGAAGATCCAAAACAAGCTGCCTCAGACAGCACTCTTCCAGCCTCCTCGAGAGAAACTCCACCTCTGTGAAGAGAAAGCGAAGTCTTATTCTAGCAGTCACAAAGTAAGGATCCTTCATTTTCTACACCTGTGCTCTGATAATGACTGAGCGTCTAGGCTATATTTCTACCCTCTTTGGTACAAGAGAGTATATAGGGGATGAGTGGGTGTAGCCCCTCGGGGCTCCAAGCACATCACTTGGTACAGTCAACATTGTATTTGCTGAATGAATGCACAAATGAACAAACAAGTCTATCCTGACCTCTGGCAAGTGTGTACTAGACCACTGGGTTGTAGGTTTGATCTACTGCCATCTTTTTCCATCAGTGAATAAACACTTATTGAGCTCCCCCTAGTGCCAGGTCTAGGCATGGGAACATAACAAAGCAGACAAAACTCTTGATCTTGTTTTCTGAAAGTTTTACTCATTCACTTGCTTATTCCATATGCATTTTTCTGCCACCACTTAGGTGTTGGGCCCTGTTTGTCCATCCATTTATTTCACAGATATCTATTGTATACCTAATATATGCCAGGTGCTGTGCAGGTGCTGGGGGCACGGATGGGAAAGCTAGCCTTTGCCTTGGAGGGACTCATGGTTTGATTGTGATGATAGGCGGGGGGAGAGACAATGGTAGTCAGTGTGATAAGTTCTGTGATGGACTCAAGTTTGGGTGAAATAGATGCAAAACGTAGAGGAAGGGGGAGGCAGTGGGCACGGAGGTGGTGAAAGGAGATCAGTTAAGGCATGCTTCTTGGGATGGGAGTGACTTGGCCTGCACTGATAACAGTGCTTAGGAGTAGGCCAGGTAAGAGCGAAGACGATAGTGTTCTGGGCAGGGGTAGCAGATATAGGATAGTATTATTCTGTATAGTATAGTATTATTAGCTATAGTCATAATGTTGTATGTTACATCCCCAGGACTTATTTATTTTATAACTAAAAGTTTGTACTTTTTGACTGCCTTCACCCTTTTTACACACCTCCCAACCCCGTAGCAACCACCTGTCTGTTCTCTATATCTATGAAGCTTTTCGTTGTTGTTTTTTAAGATTCCACATATAAGTAAGATCATACAGTGTTTGTTTTTCTCTGATTTATTTCCTTAGTATAATGCCTCGAGTCTATCCATGTTGTCACAAATGGCAGAATTCCCTTACTTTTTACAGTTGAATAATATTCCATTATATATATGTATCATATTTTCTTTATTTATTCACCCATCCATGGACACTTAAGTTGCTTCCATAGGATTCAGGCTTTAGTGACATAGCGCAGGAAATGAGGTTGGATTATGGAAGGAGCTGGGGCCCAGAGGGTGTTCAATACCCAGAGAAGGAGTTCAGATTTCCTCCTAAAGGTATTAGAAACTCTCCTAGGATGATAAGTAGGAGTGTCACAAGCAGATTTGAGCGTCTGGAATGATCACTCACATAGCTGAGTGGAGGAAGGGTGAGAAGGGAGCAAAATTGGAGGAGGAGGCCCAGTTCAGAAGCTATTTGTAATTATACCAGCAAGGAATTAGAAGAGCCTGAACTACATGTAGCAGGGTCAGTAAAGATGCTAAGATCATCTGGTAGGAATTTGGAAATGTGAATCAGGAAGACCTGGTGACTGAGGGGATGTAGGGTTTGTAGAGGCAAGAGTGAATCAGAGTGGATGTATACAATTCATGACTTAGGTCTCAGCCAACTTGGGTGACTAGAGGCTTGCCAGACCCTTTGCCATTAAATGAATACAGGCGGAAGAGCAGGATTATGGAGAGGAGGCATGAATTTGGTCTTGAATGTGTACTTATTCATTATGCAACAGATCAGTATGCACTGTGTGCCAGGCTGTGTGGTAGGTAGGAACTGGGCTGGCAGCCTTTCTCAACCAGAGTCCTGCAAGAGAATTAAGCCTTAATGCCCTAAGGCATTCAATGTGTGTAAAGAATTAGCTTCTCTTCTGTGGGTCTAGGATGGCACTAAATTATTTTCTGTGTTCTGCAGTTCAGTTGAGGCACCCCTGGATACCGTGGTGAACAGCGCAGGCAGGTTGCATGGCCTCATGGAGCTGAGGGGCAGTCCGCATTGCAAATACACTAGCAAGCCAGAGACTATGTCAAGTGCTATTGAGGAAAGAGTGGGCCTGTCTATGAACAGGTGACGTAAGAGCTTAGACCTTAGGAAGTGAAGGAGCCAGCTTGGAGGAGTTAAGGGAAAAGAGTTCTAAGGAGAGGAAGCAGCACATGTAAAATCTATGAGGTGGGCACAAGCGAGACATGTTTGAAGTGAGAAAGGAAGCTACAGACTGACGTGAAATGCAGTTGGAGAGGCAGGCAGTTCACTTAGGACCTTGCAGGTCTCCAGCTAAGTGCCGTGCGAGCCCTTAAAAGTGTTTTCTGGAAAGTATTAACATGATGTAATTTGCTTTTTAAAATAACCTTTTGTTGGCATTATTTTACTTTAAAATACTTTCAGACTTACAGAAAAGTTACAAGACTCACCAGTTGCTAACATTTGCTTTATTTCTGTGTGTGTGTGGCATTATTTTTCTCAATTATCTCAGAGTAAATTACAGATATTATAGATTTACCCCTAACTATCTTAGAGGATACTCCTACCTACCCACAGGATCATGATTAAAATCAAGAAACTGGAGGAGCACTGGGTGTTGAATAGAAACCAATTTGACAATAAATTTCATATTAAAAAAATAAAATAAAATTAAGAAACTAATATTGGTATAATATTATTATCTAATCTGCTAACCTTATCCATATTTCTTGAATTATCTCAATAGCGTCTTTGGCAGAAAAAAAATCAGACAGATCCATGCTCTGCTCTATTAATTCACATAGAATATAGTTGTGAAGTCTCTTTAGCCTTCTATAATCTACTAGAACGATTCCTTGGCCTGCCTTTGTCTTTCATGATCTTGATATTTTTGAAAAACTTACTGTGTTAGTCTGCTCTGGCTGCCACAATACAACACCACAGACTGGGTGACTGAAGGAAGTTTAAGAGCAAGGTTCCAGCAGGGTCTGTGTCTGGTGAGAGCTCTCCCCTTGGGCTGTAGATGGCTGCCTTCTTGCTGTGTGCTCACATGGCCTCTTTGTGTTGGGGGCAGTGGTAAAGAAGGGGGAGAGAGAGGCGACGCTTCTTATAAGGACAGTAATTCTGTTGGATCAGGGCCCCACCTTTATGACCTCATTTAACTTCAGTCACTTCCTTAGAGGCCTGTCTCTAAATGCCACATTGGGGGTTAGAGCCTCAACATATGAATTTGGAGGGACACAAATATTCAGTCCTTCACAAGTACACTCCAATTATTTTGTACAGTATCTCTCAATTTGCTTTTCTCATGTGTGTCCTCATGATTAGATACAGGTTGTCCGTTCTGGGCCAGAATTCCACAGACAAGACCTATGGGTCTTTTTTAGTGTATCACAGCAGGACGCATATGGTGTCCTCTTGTCTCCTTACCGTGATGCTAACTTTGATCACATGGTCCAGGTGCTGTCTGGCAGGCTTCTTCTCTTGGGATTGCTATTCTTCCCTTTGTAATTAATAAGTATCTTGTGGGAAGATTCAGCAAAACTGTGTGTGTGTCCTTTTCCTCATTAAAATGTCACCCCCTACTTTTAGCGTCCATTAATGATTCTCACTTGAATCAGTTATTACTACGATGTTTGCCAAATGGCAAATTCTCTGACCTCAGCATTCTTTCAATATTTATTTGGCATTTCTATAAGGAAGAGTGTTCCTTCTTTACACTCTATTATTCACTCATTTATATAAGTTATGGGCTCAGGAAATTGCTTTTGAAATGTATTACCATCTATTATAATCGTCAAAACATGAATTGTTTCATATTTGCCGGTATTTGCCCCTTCACACTGGCTCCCACCTCCTCGGTACATCCCCATTGATCTTTACTCATTTCAGACACAGCAAGATTCTTCAGATTCATCTTATACTTTCCCTGCTCCAGCTGTGGATTCTTAGCAAAGAATAGTGTTTAGACACCAAGATTTGGGTATTAAAAACTCATTTTTACTTTTTTATTTAAAAAATTGTTTTTGAACATTTATTTATTTTTGAGAGAAAGAGACAAAGTGTGAGCAGAAGAGGGGCAGAGAGAAAGGGAGACACAGAATGAGAAGCAGTCTCCAGGCTCTGAGCTGTCAGCACAGAGCCTGAAGCGGGGCCTGAACTCATGAGCGGTGAGACCATGACCTGAGCTGAAGTCTGATGCTTAACTGAGCCACTCAGGCACCCCAAAAACTCATTATTAAATATATATATGGCCAGACCTACTGATCATCAGAGCTGCATATTTTAATGTTAAGGAGTTAAAGAAATTTCACGTGGCCCAAGAATGGTTTTGTGAAAAGAACTCTGGACTTGGCCTCAGGGAGCTGAATTTTAAGTCTCGACTCTACCATTTGGTGATAAATCCTTTCATCTCTCCAGATTTACATTTATTCTTTAAATTAAGGGATCAAATTATATTATTTCCAAGGCACATCCCAGTTATGAAATTGTCTGCCTACTTATACTTCTCTTCTGTCTGCCTCCTCCCCATGCCTGTTGGATGAAGCCACTGGAACTGGCAGAATAAAGATCAGAAAGCCAAAGGGATATTTGGAGTGTGCATTCTAGCAAGTAAAAAGGTTGAGGGAGGGCAGGCTGCTCTTCTGTACCCCAGTTGCAGGTAGTGAGGACCCAGGCTACGATTGAGGGGCCTGACTTTCAGTCTACATAGCCCTCTTCTTAGAAATCTGTGGTTGGGATAGATTCATTGTCAGATCAGGTCCTCTCTCTTTTTGCTCGACTGTCTGTCTAGACTCCCAAGTGTTTTCATCATTTCTTTCTTTTTTCTTCACTGTATTCACTTGCTATGTCTCCAAGGAAGCCATTCCCTAAACTCCCAGCTTTAGCTGGACTCTATCTACAAAGAGACAATCCACTGCCAAGATGGCTCCCTCCTCTGATTGACTAATTGGTGTCAGCTATTGGTACCTTTCTACAAGGGCCTCTCTTTAGGCTTCCTCATAGCATGGTGGTTAGGTTATCAATTTCCTAGGGCTGCCATAACAGAATACCTCAGACGAGGTGGCTTAAACATCAGAAGTTTATTTTCTCCAAGTTCTGGAGGCTACAAGTCCAAGATCAAAATGTTGGCAGGGTTGATGTCATTTGGAGGCTTAGCTTGAATACGGTGCCCTCTCCCCATGTCCTCACAATTTTTTTCTTTCTGCGTGCCCATCCCTGGTATTTCTTCCTCTTCTTGTAAGAACATCAGTCATGTTGGGTTAGGGCTCTACCCTAACGGCCTCATTTTAACTTACCTCTTTAAAGACCTTCTCTCCATATACTGTCACATTTTAAAGTACTTGGGCCTCCAAAATTTGAGTTTAAGGGGCAGTGGGGACACAACTCAGCCCACAATTGTGTTCTGTTTCTAAGAAGAAACAGAAAACGGAAGCAGCCAGTTCCTTAAGACCTGGGCCCCCAAACTGTCACTGCATCATCCCATCCATATTCTATCAGCCAGTTATAAAGCCCAGATTCAAAGGGAAGGAGACAGAGATCCCCTATCTCTGGATGGAAAGAGTCAAAGGATTTTGGAGCTATATTTTAAAACTACCAGCCTTGCTTTGAGTATATTGCTGCTCCGAGCTGACCTGAACTGGACATACCAGCTCCCTGTTCTCTTGGTCCAGACACTGAACATAAATGGACTTCTCACTGCTTTAATGAAATCTGTTTGTCAGTTGCCAACCTCATTTCCTATGCTGATACCCTAGGCTGCTAAGAAAGGTATTTGAATGGAGAACCAGAGAGCCTTATTTGAAAACTGGTACCACTTGCCCCCTGGTGCTTGAATGTGTAGTAGCTGTTCATAGATGGGCAGCGAAAGCCTAGGGAATGGTTAGATGTCTGCTCTACTTTTTCTATTTCTTCTTTATTTGTTATCTTTCTCATAAGGTACTAAAAGCTTAAATGTTTTATCCATTTAAATATACTATAAAGTTTATTCATTTCTGTCAGGTATTGTCTATTTCACCCTAATAGATGAACCGCCCACGGCCCAAAATAGATCTTTGTCTATTTTCTTCTCTGATGTATCCCTGGCACCTAGTAGGTACTCAGGAAGTATACACTGAATGGACAAAAATGCTAGTTGACTTTGTGCTTTGTGACTCTGTGTTTTCAAGTCATCTAGCTCGTAAGCCCATTTTCTGTCCGTCACAGTATGAACAGGCTGTCCGCGAGCTTGTACGCTGCATGGCGCTGACGAGAATTTGCTATGGTGACTCACACTGGAAACTAGCAGAGGCACATGTTAATCTGGCCCAAGGCTACCTCCAGCTGAAAGGTGAGTTCATCTCCAATGGTGGCGGGAGGGGGAGAGGTAACAATCCATGGGTTTCTGCTCTTTCGTGCAAATGTGACTCACACGTAACTAGAAGGATTCAGTTTTCTTGAATATTCTCCTCTCCACCCATTGAGTAGCCATCTCATTTCAGAAAGAGCGAATGAGATTTTTTTATATAATATATAAAAAAGAGAAGGAAGATTTTAGCCCTTTGGAGGGCTTTGGAGAGCCCTTTATTTATGATCTTAAAAGTAGGGTTCTTGGGAGAGAATTGTTAGCTTTGAAGGTATTGCAGAAGGGGCCCAAGGCATGGAGCGTGGGCCTACAATGGGATCCATTCACATTTGTTTTGATGGAGAATTTCTTGCCTGTAAGCAACACCCCTCCCCCCCCAAAAAAACATAAATAAGAGATGAAATCAAGCCAGCAGTAAACAAAAGTTCATGTATTGGCTCATACAACTTGAAAACGCAAGGGTAAAACTTGCTGTAGACAACCAGGTGTCTACACAGGTTAAACCAGGTGTTCAACCAATGTCATCAGATTTGTGTTTCTCTCTTAATCTTCCCCTTGGCTCTGTTTTTCTCTGCATGGACTTTGTTCTTACCCAGGCTTTGCCCATCTGGCAGCAGCAAGGCTTGCAGAAGTTTTATTTAGACTTCCTTCATCAGCATTCCCAGGGAAAAAAAAAAAAAAAAAAAGAATGTCTTTTCACCAAAATCTCAGGAGTTGGGGGTTCTATTGGGGCTGACTTGGATGGTAGGTCAAAGGCAAGGAATAGTCAGATGATAGATCTGCCTTTTGGCTCCACTAGATCCTGGAGGACAGGCTGACCTTGGCTAAATCACATGGATTGGGTGTACAGGGGCTGGGCATTCTCAGAAGAAAACGAAAGAAGGAGGAATGGATGCAGGGAAGGCAAAAAACAACAGGATATCATGTTTTCTTCTCCCTCACCCAGGACGAGGTGTACAAGAGTACATCTCTGTACTCCCTTTCTTTAAAAGTGATGATAATGATGGTGGTGCTAACTTCCCAGGATGGATCCAGTGAATAAATAAAATAACAAGAAGTGGAAAACACCACAGTGCTAAGCACAGAATTGCCACCCAATGAATTTGGTCAAATCTGATTATTAACTGGTCCCACTTGTTAGATCAAAGATTTTTAGAGCCAGAGGGGACCCTGGAGATTATCGAGTTCAAACCCCAGAACCCCCTCCTATATTTTTAGATCCAGAGGAGACAAATGAGATGAAACAACTTATCCAACTTATAATGTTAGTAGGGTTTTGGATGCCAGCACCAGTGACCTGGCATCTGGGATTTCAAATAATGCTTTTCTTCCATAGGCTGCTACCTTTTTGCATGATAGTCTTTCTTTCTCAAGTTAAAGTGAGAGCGGGTACCTGGGTGACTCAATTAAGTGTCTGACTCTTGATTTTGGCTCAGGTCGTGATCTCAAGGTCAGGAGAGCCAGCCCCTCATAGGACTCTGTGCTGAGCATGGAGAGTACTTAGGATTCTCTCTCTCCCTCTCTCTCTGCCTTTCTCCTGCTCATGTACTCTCTCTCAAAATAAATAAATAAAATTTTTAAGAAATACAATGCACCACTAACTTTTGTAATATTGCATGTGTAATTGGCACTAAAAAATCACTGGTAGGTTGATTAAATATGTACTTTAAAAAAATTAGACAATCTATAAGCATTCCCACATGAAGGACATACCTTGGAATTTCTCCATCAGAAAGTATATTCTTCCATTTTATAGACATCAGAACAGCATTAATTTTGTAGTTTGGCAGCTTCCTAGAGATTCTGAGATACACTTTCATAAAAAAAAAAAAAAAAAAAGACCGGGGTGTATAGATGTGGATAGAATGAAGGACGTCAGTGTGGGGGAAAATGGTTGGGAGTATGGAGAAGTGAAAAGCCCTGAAACCTAACTGGCAACCCCCCTTGCCACCCTTACTACATATTAATAAGCCCATGGAAGAACACTGGAACACAGTGGGGAATTCGTTCTTGGTAGAGATTATTTTCCTTGATGTTGTCCCATGTTGTCATATTAGCCAACAAATTTATAGGAATAAGATTGTAGCACATTAGCCCATTCTGTCATTGGAATTGTATCTGTAAAGTGTTTTTAGATATCATTGTATTTTTATTATGTTAAAATAACCCTCTAAAGTTATGATTATAGATGGATAAGCAGAAGCTTCAGAATTTTTAGTATGAAGATTGCTGTCACACAGCCAGAATGAAAATTCATGAATATCTTATTTCCTGCCCAGAATGCTATAGTCCTTGCATTCCATTTGTTTTCTTATAATTATTTAGAATATATTTCATATCTGATATTGGTGAGGTTTCAAAGTTGTTCAATTCCCGCTCATGCTGTTTAATTTCTAGAAAGACCATTTGGGGGAGATTTATCTTGAGTACTAGGTGTAAGCCACTGCTTTGGTTTTTACAGTCAGGACAATATTTCATGCTGCCCTGATATATCTCTATGTGTCACTTGACAGTCTGTGGAGGAGACCTAATTTTATTTCCTGGCCATAGATCATTATGGTCATGTGCCCTGCTGACATGAAAGAGAAACTAAGATCTCTTTTCCTTTGTCCACAGGACTGTCCCTGCAAGCAGAACAACATGCAGAAAAAGCCAAAGAAATCCTCACCAACTCCATCGTGCCTCCCTATAACGACAATACAGATGTTTTCAAGTGTTCGATTGAGCTATTCCATACCATGGGGAGAGCCTTACTCTCCCTTCAAAAGTATCCTTTTGCTTCTAATATTTACACGTAGAAATGCCATTCATAATGCCTACGTTTAATTTTTCAAGGCCAAATCAAAAGCTGACAGATGACTCTGAAAGGGTGATGGGAAGTTTAAGAGCCAAGGATGTCCCAAGAACTGGGGTCCCAGAATCTAGAACTATGTGTGACGTTTCCTGAACACAACTCAGGTTTAAAGAAGCTTCCGAGAATTTGACAAAGGCAGAGACACTTGCAAAGGAGCTGCTGCAATGTGGAAGGATTGTAAAGGAGGAATGGATAGAAATTCAAGCACGGATCAAATTGTCATTTGCACAGTAAGTTTCCGGTTTAGGGTGTTTTGAATACATGATGGCAGGAGGTTCTGGCAGAGAACCTGCCTGCTTTCAGGCAGAAGGAGCTTCTCCCATGATGCTGTGTCCATGGCTTCTCCATGGCCACTGTCCAGAAGCAAAAGAGGACCATGGTCATATCAGAGCATCCACAACCAAGGCACATACATCGTTGATGCAATTATATATACATATACATATACACACATGTAGATAGATAGATAGATAGTGCAATTACATACATGTGATGAAATTATACATTCACTCCTGGGTCCTAGAGTTCTGATGTCACTCCTTTGACTTTCTATTTCTTGCCTGCTCTCCTGAACCCCCTCCTCTGTATTTAAATCACCATATATTTCATACCACAGAGAGGAAGAAGATATTTGTCATACACATAACTGGCAAAGGACTTATATCTAGAATCTGTAAAAAAAACTCCTATATATCAATAAAACAAAGACAGACAACAGAATAGAAAAGCAGACAAGAGACTTCACACACACACACACACACACACACACACACACACACACATGCCCACATAGCTAATAAACATCCTAAATGTTCCATTTCATCAGTCATCAGGGAAATTAAAATTAAAATCAGAAGATACTACTACATCTCCACTAGAATGGCTAATTTTTTAAAAGGACTGATAATATCAAGTGTTGGTAAGGATGTCATGCTCTTATATGGTTTCTCATATGTTGTAGTTTAGAATGTATTTGGTATGACTACTTTAGAAAATGGGTTTGGCTTCATCTTCTAAATTTGAATATTTGCCTACTCTGTGACACAGCAGTATCACTCCTAAATATAACACAAATGCACACATATGTTCATCAAAAGAAGTGGCCAAGAATGTCCAAAGCTACATTATTTATAATAGCCAAGAATTGGAAACAACCCAACTGTTCATCAAAACTACTATAGATAAATGGGTGATGGGCATCGAGGAAGGCACTTGTTGGGATGAGCACTGGGTGTTGTATGTAAGCCAATTTGACAATAAATTATATATTTTTTTAGAAAAGTACAATAGATAGGGGCACCTGGGTGGCTCAGTTGGTTAAGTGTCCAACGTCAGCTCAGGTCATGATTTCATAGTTTGTGAGTTCGAGCCCCATGTCAGGCTCTGTGCTGACAGCTCGAGCCTGGAGCCTACTTCAGATTCTGGGTCTCCCTCTCTCTCCCCCTCTCCCACTCACACTCTGTCTCTCCTTCTCTTTCTCAAAAATAAATAAACATTAAAACAAAATTTTAAAAAAGTACAATAGATAAAATTGTGATCTGTTCATTCATACAAAGAAAATGATCAAACTGCTCCTTTGCCTAACATCACGGATGACTCTCACAAACATAATACTTAATGAAAGAAACCAGACCCAAAAGAATTCATACTGTATGATTCCATTTATGTAATGAGAAGAGGAGGGAAGTAATGACTGGGAGTGCCTGGTAGTCCAGAATTTCTTCCTGTCTAGAAGTAGATATTCTGTCTTGTATTGTAAGACAGGAAATAAGCAAGTCAAGGGTCGAATATCGGACATTTATTGCATCTAATGTTACTAGAACTTTTTTTTTTTTAACGTTTATTTATTTTTGGGACAGAGAGAGACAGAGCATGAACAGGGGAGGGGCAGAGAAAGAGGGAGACACAGAATCGGAAACAGGCTCCAGGCTCTGAGCCATCAGCCCAGAGCCTGACGCGGGGCTCGAACTCCCGGACCGCGAGATCGTGACCTGGCTGAAGTCGGACGCTTAACCGACTGCGCCACCCAGGCGCCCCTAATGTTACTAGAACTTAATGTCGAGTGGTGTTGCTACAAAAGAGGGTAAATTATCCTCCGCCAGAATTCGCACCTCCTCTAAGAATTCTTTCCAAATCAGCAGTACTAAATCTTGCCGGCAGATGGCGCGCCTTGTACACATCTGTGCTGAATATCCAACAAGAATTAGAGTCCATGTTCCCAGCTGGCCTACAAACTTACTTTGTGTTTAGCTGAGTTGTCTTAAACTTTGCCACTTCTTTACGTCCAGGTTCTCCACAGTGACATAGTCACTGGAACTTGCATGTTTGAACTGTGTGGTTTTCATTGGATCACTGTGCTTTGTTTCCTCACTGGATTATGAATGCTTTGCCCAAACGGGTCTGCCTCAGAAATTTGCGTGGCTTTGCTTTCGTACATTTCCGCAGTTCCACTCACAACCACAGAGGCCTTTTCTTTTACAAGGTCTTGGTGGTCGAAGGCCAGGATAATTTCTCAGACAGCTCTCGTGGGATTTATGTGCCTCTTAAAAGGGCATCTTTCATGTATCCTCTTCCTCCTTCTGCCTCGCCTTTTATGGTGCCCATCAGGCCAAGCCAGTTCTTTTCTCCTTGGGCTGACAGATAAATGCTGCCTGGTGACTCACGCTCTCTGCCTTCTCTCCCTCACTGTGGGCTGAAGCTTTCCCTTCTACCTGCCCTCCTCTGTGCCAGAACTACTCCATTCACTAACTTTTCATTAACTTTGGAGAGTGAATCCAAATCATGCTCCTCTGTGCAGATTTGTTTTTCTAAATGTGATACAGAAACTCAGTGGTGAACATGGGCGAACTCTTCCCATGTTAAGAATTATTTTCTGTTGCCGGTTACTGCTGCTCCAGAACGTGTGACCTGTCCAGGCTTTCCCTTGGACTGTGCGACATGCCATCTTTGGAGTCTTCTTTGGAGCACGTGGCCTGGCATTGCTGTGTTGAACTGGCTCTCAGGTGCACTGTGAAAACTAGAGTATCGACAGGACATTTCCTCTATATCTAAGGAAGGTGACGTGGTGTAGTCAACAGTGTGGGCTTTATTTTTTTAAGTTTTTTAAGTTTTTATCTATTTATTTTGAGAGAGACAGACAGCATGAGTGGGGGGGGGGCGGGTAGAGAGAGAGAGGGAAAGAGAGAATCCCAAGCAGGCTCCACTTTGTACTTTGGTGATAGCCCTTCCTTTCTTGCTTTTAGATCCTCGAGTGCTCAACTCAGTAATCTACAAGTCTGTTGCTTTCAGAACTTAGCTTTTTTTTTTTTTTTTTTTCATTAATACATGATCTGGAGGTCCTTGGTGTCTAAGCTGTATGTCTGTAGATGTGTTTCTTTAAAGAAGTCCCTTCTCGGGGCACCTGGGTGACTCAGTGGGTTAAGTGTCCAACTTCAGCTCAGGTCATGATCTTAAGGCTCGTGATTTTGAGCCCCGCGTTGGGCTCTGTGCTAACAGCTCAGAGCCTGGAGCCTGCTTCAGATTCTGTCTCCCTCTCTTTCTCTGCCCCTCCCCACTCTTACTCTGTCTCTCTCTCTCTCTCTCTCTAGAAAATAAAATAAATGTTAAAAAAAAATTTAAAAAAAGAATCACCTCTACATTTATTTTCTGGATATAAAAGCTCTGACAAATGCTCGTGTATTCAGAGCCCTGCCTCTTCCTTTCCTCCTCCGGGAAATGTCCTGCTCTTCTCCAGAGGAGAGGTTTGTCCTGGCAGCTCCTTCCATGGGACACTATTTGCCTGGCATGCCTTATGCTTGTTTAACAAGAAAGAAATCATTTACTTTTTTTCTGATGCTCTTCTCCATCCTATGTTCCTTTGATTAAAGAAATTCTCTGAACTTACACAACTTACACAACTCTGAACACAAACTCTGATTTTTGAAAAGTCGGGGTTTCTTTTAATGTGGAGAAGCAGAAAAGCACACAGAACACATTACTACCTTCATATACTTGATCTGCTTTCTGTTTCTTGAATCCCCTACAGCTTTACATTTCAGAGTACCATATTCTTGTCTTTCCATTTCTAACACTATATGCCTGTAATACACATTTCCTTAAACAACTACAAATAATACTGAGGATTTTAAACAACCACACCAGCTACTAACACTTGACCACCTTCCGTGCCAGGCTCTGGCAAAGTGCCGAAGTCCTGTGTGCTGGGCATGCTCGGTAGTCCCATTCTCAAATGAACCACATGGGGCTGAGAGAGGGGAGGTCATTTCCCAGGGTCACACAGCTGGGACTGGCAGAGGAGAGCCAGGTCTACCAAACTCTGGCGTCTGGGCTCCTCCCCGTGGCACAGATCACGTTCCCTAGTGCAAAACGGAGACCTGAGAGTACACTCTGCAGAGCAAAACCTTTGTTGTGTGTGCCAGAGGGTAGAGAGGGAGAGTCTCATGAAAGCCTTTTCTCCCTGTGACTCTAGAAAATCCCACTTGGCCTCTTGCAGGATTGATTTTTCCTCAGATTTCGCTTATTAGCAATATTCCCACCGAGACTTGCTGTTCACTGTTGCTCTGTATTCTTGCTAAATTTCAGAGATTTTTTTAAAAAAATGTTTATTTTGAGAGAGAGAGAGAGAGAGAGAGAATGCACTCGAGCAGGGGTGAGGCAGAGAGAGAATCCCAAGGAGGCTCTGTGCAATCAGCGCAGAACCCCATGCAGGGCTTGATCTCATAAACAGTGAATTATGACCACAGCCAAAATCAAGAGTCGGACTCTTAACCAACTGAGCCACCCAGGCACCCCAAATTCCAGAGCTTTTAAAAGGAAACTCTCCATTGTCTTAGTAATACCAAAGAGATTGCATTTGTTTATTGCCTGCTACAACAAGTCTCCAACCCTAGGAGATCTTCTGAGGCTCATCTGAAACTCCTTACGTGCTCTGTAGAATTCCTGTGGATGTATTTTCATTCAATAAAATATGTTGTGGTTGGAGTTGTGGCCCTGCCAGATTAACATACTGCCACATTCTGTTGTTCAAAACTCTCTATCTTTTCATCTGTCTGGTGTTTCCTAAAGCTGCCTAAACATATTATGGGCACGCTAGACAATAAATCCTCAAAGCATTCCCTGCAGGCAGATAGAAACGGAAAAGAGAAAATGTTGCCATCCCAAACATTACACTTGAGCAAATGCAGACAGACAAGATTACTTGAAATTGATGCTTTCAGTGATTTGGCGATGG